GCCACCATGCCCAGCTAATGTTTTGTATTTTTGGTAGAGACGGGGTTTCACCATGTTGACCAGGATGGTCTCGATCTCTTGACCTCGTGATCCACCCGCCTCGGCCTCCCAAAGTGCTGGGATTACAGGCTTGAGCCACCGCGCCCGGCCTCAAAAATTTTTTAACTAGATAACGTACATAAATGATAAGGCGCTGTACAAACACTTTATTCTTTCGCAATACCTGAAGACTACATTTCTTACATTTGAAAACCTGAGAGCTCTTCAAGAATTGTGCACTCAGTATAAAAGGTACTGTGCTCCAGGCAGTGGGGCTATCTGTCCATCCCACCCTGCCTCCCTGTCCCCATTCCCAAGCCTGGCTCACCAATTCATATAAGGTACAAAATTTCAGTCTGGTGCATCAGCCGCGCTCCTCGCCCCCTCCCCCATTCACTCCCATCTTGCCTCCTCCCAGGTCCCAGCACCCTCACCCCTGCCTCCCGCTTGTTTCAGCTTGTTTCAAAGGATTCGGTGACTTTGACAATCCCCCAGCTCTCCTCAAAACTTATTTTAGAAGGAGCTCACCACTCCTGACCATTTGTGGGTTGAATTTGCCCCTATGATGTTTCTTCTCCCCCATGGCCCCAAACTGCTGACCTCTGGCCCACAGCGTTTAATTAGATGGATGTGGTGGATTGAATGGGTTTGTACTTGAGGAAGTGCAAAAGTATTTCCTGGCAAAGAGAATGACGGTAGCCAAAAGTAGGAGGTGGGAAAGAGCTGTGCACGCTTCTGCATGTGACTTGGGGAAGGCTTGGATGGCTAAGGATGGCAAATGTAACTCCCTGGGCAAGGTAAACCCTAAGAGCATCTCGGTACAGACAATAGTGTTAGAGAATGGCTCATAATTCGAATGGGACAAATTGCTATTGATTTCTTCCATTCACTTTTAATCTATAAAAGTTCATCTTTTTTCCCTTCTATACCAATACTATCATTGGTCCAATGTCATATTTCTATGGAATTTATTCTGATCAATTTCAGAGACTTTTATAAGATGTAATACTCAGTGTTAATGAGGATGCAATAAAATCTCATATTTGGCTGCTGAAATGTAAATAACAAAACTTCCTGTTGTGCAAATTAATAGCATACATTAAGGGATTTTTAAAAACATATACATTAAGGGATTTTAAAAAATTCATATTCTTTGATTCAGCAATTTTACTTACTTAATTAATTAATTAACTTAGAATGTTTAAAAATTTAGCGCTACCCATGAAGAATTAAGTCCAGTCTACTAATTTGTAAAATTTCTTCAGAAAGTTATCTGCATGAGGTTGGTCTTGATTCCTGCAGATCACTCTGGAGTTAAATGCAAAGGAATATTGATATATAATTTTGTTATACTTTATTTCAGAATTTTTAATACATACTTGTAAGACAAATTTAGAACTGATTTTTAAAAGGCTAGTGCTTATATAAAATCTTCAAATACTACCCAATATATTTTTAGTATTAGTAATAAATATGCCTGTTTATTTGTCCCCAGCAACATAAAGAGGTATATGGAATTTTTAAATGCAACATTTTTGGGGAGTCTGGTACATTTGGCAGAATAATTTGAGATAAAACTGTTATGAAGTAAACAGCGTTTTTAAGAAATGAAAACAAAGCATCCAGTTTCTGCTCCAAAAGACGGAGAATCTATAAGATACCTGGGTAAAATGGTGTAAAATAAAAAGTGTGGTGCATTCTCAGTGTGGGTGTAAAGACTCCAATTAATGTTTGTCTACATGATTTTATTTCAAGGTTGAAAAAATAAGTTTGACTTGTGTATGTAGAATATAATCATTGAATAAAATACAAATCTCCTTCTTTGTCCATGTGGTCAAGATAGAGCCTAAAGACAATCTAAATTTTTATTTTTTCCTAATTATTAAGCTATATAATGATACATATCTCACTTCACTGTTTAAAATAATAATATTAATTTCCTACTTCAGGAAAACACAAACATTAAAAAAATTGACAAATGAAAATCATTTTAGTAAACACACACACACACACACACACACACACACACACACATAAAGAAATAAATCCAACAACCCCTACAAAAACCTGTATGCCATGTTCATAATAGCAAAAACTGAAACAACCCAAACATAAATCAAAGGGAGACTAGATAAACAAATCATGATGTTTTCACTCAATGCAATACTGCTTAGCAGAAAAAAGGAATGAACTACTAATCCATGCAAAAACATGAATGAGTTTCCAAAGCAGAATGTATAAGCCAGAAGAGCACATACTGTATTAGGTCATTTATGTAAAGCTCAAAAACAGATTGATCTAGAGCAAGAAATAACAAGCAGGGTTACCCTGTGTGGGTAGAGAAGGGAAGTAAACAGTGTTTTTAAGAAATGAAAACAAGCAACCAGTTTCTGCTCCAAAAGAGGGAGAATCTATAAGATACCTGGGTAAAATGGTGTAAAATAAAAAGTGTTTCAAATGACTAGGGAGAGGCATGGAGAACTTTCTTGGGTGATGGTGATGCTCTATATCCTTAGGGGTGTTGGCTATGCTAGTATATGCATTTACTAAAAACACCAAACTGTACACTTAAGATGGGTGCACTTCATTCTGGGTAATTGTATCTGAATTTTAAATGTTTAATATTTTATTATAATTTAGATAGTTGCAGCTGTCCTAAAAAAAAAAAAAAGGTAAAAAGGTTAGCACAATGCTTCCCATTTTTACTACTATGCGAGTTAGTAGAGATGCTAAACTCCATCATCCCTGCCCAGAGCTGTCTACAGTTGAGTATACTGTCAGTGTATATCTGCCTAAGCTGTTGCAAGGGGCATTAGCTGTGGAGGGCATCAAATGGTATCCACAGAGCAACCCAGGGGCAGGAAAAATACAAGTGATACTGTAGCTGATTCCAGTCCCCAAACAGCCACAAGCAACAAGAGTCCCAGTCTTGATGAGGATCTGTTTACACTCAACTTGAGAAGATTTTCTTTAGCTCTGCATGGATTGCTAGCTCCCAAGGCATAAATGCTACATTTCTCCATGATACTTTAAAAGCAATGTGGAGGTTTCAGAGAGCATTTGCACAGAGACAGCTGAGATAATGTCATCCTGTGACTACTTTCGGCACCATGATCAGTAAAACATCCATCAGGGAAGTTCCTGGAAAACCCAGGCCTGGGCCAAGAATGCCAGGCACCCTGGACATCTCCACGGGTCCAAAGTGGAAATCAGAGGCTTGTGTAGCTGCACCACTAGCCTAAGCATCGTCATGAGCCTGTCCTCAACCTGAGGGTGGGTATGTCCGACACCCCACATGGTATTCTGGGAAAATAAACCCGACCGGGATCGCTGTAAGGGCTCTGTCTTTTTCACTTGTCATTTGCAGTGGTTAGTCTCTGAGATGGGTGTGCCATCTTCATACCTCTATGTAATTAACTTTCAAACATATCAATAGTAAGGATCCCTGTCTGGCACAGTACAAAAGATGCTTCGTTTTTGAAATGCATCCTGGATGTACATGAAAAGTGGGGTTAAATCAAAATTTCTGATCCCTCTTATTAATGCCACCAGCTCTGAGATGTTGTATCAGCAACATGCCAGGAAAAGGAGACAAGCTACTCCTCTGCCCTGCCCCGCCCTACTCTGCAAAGCTGTGTGACTCTGTGCAAGTGGCTTCACCTCTCTGTTTTCTCCTCTGTGAAATGATCATGTTGAAGTGGACCTTTCCACTCAGAAATGTCATGACCTCTTCGTTTGATTTTTAATTGACAGTGGTACCTTGACATCTCATACTTTAGTTGTACATTTTGTACTTTCGCTTTCTCTGTCAAGCAATTAATAAATCTCTAAATTAACACACAGGCAACAGCAGCCAGGCTCAGGGAATAAACACTTCCTGATTTATTAATACAGATTTTTCACATGTTAAACTTCCTTTTTTTTTTTTTTTGAGACAGGCCATCGCTCTGTCACCCAGGCTAGAGTGCTGGAGTGCAGCTGCACAATCTTGGCTCCCACCTCAGCCTCCTGAGTAGCTGGAATTACAGGAGTGTGCCATCACACTCAGCTATTTTTTTTATAATAGGGATGAGGCCTCACTATGTAGTCCAGGTGGGTCTGAAATTCCTGGACTCAGGCAGTCCTCCCACCTTGGTATCTCGAAGTGCTGAGATTACAGACATGAGCCACCGTGCGCTGCCAGGGTTTCTTAAAGTATAGCATAACATATTTTTTAGCAGTTTTGAATTTCAATATATTTTCTCCTAAGAATATGAGTATGGAAAGACAAGCAGAAACCTCACGAAGGAAGGGGGAAGTGGTCACAGGTAACCCACAAAAGGGATCCTTCAATTGATTATTGAGAACGTTCCTGCAAAACATTCTCTTTTGGGATATTACGTTCTAGTGGAACCTTATTCTGTAAAACATATTCTGCGCATTTCTTCAGTAAATTTTTAAACACAGCATCATTGTGTCAGGCTCCTTACTGGCAGCAAACTCTATTTCTGGTCTCATGGACAGGCTACAAAATGAAGCGATCTTAAAGTTATGCAGATATCTGTAGCCCTGCAATGTGGAGAATCAGCTACAGAATCAACTTGTTTACCTTTTCTCTTTGAATACCATTGATCAACTGGAGAACTGAACAGGGACAACAGGAAGCTGAACGAGGAAAAGGCTGGCTCCTACATCCATGAGGAATTATTAAGGCATATAGACATGAAGAGAGGTTGTATATCATTTCTGGTTCCAAATACCTGAAAAAGTCATTAGATTTTTTAAATCTGTTTTCCTTCCCATTACTCTAGCTCTGCCTGTTGTCATTAGACTTGATCCAGGTAACACCGATGGGCAGACTAATGGAAAGGATAACAGATTTCATTTATTTTAAAGAATTTCTCTTCTATTCCAATTAAAACAAAAAGTCAGTATTACTTTGCAGTCTCTGTTTGAAGAATTGCATTGTGTGGGAGAAATTCCTCTGTCATCAGAATGTCCATACAGAGACTGAACTGATGCCTGCTGGGGAAATTGTCCAAAGAAAGAAGGTTGAGAAGATGGTGGGGGCATGGCAACTGGGGTGGGCGGTAACATTCGCCATCCCTTCCAATTCCAGGGTCACTGGACACTTGGATTCTATTTCTGTGCTTGGATTACTGTGACTGATGAGCTGCTGAAGGAGCCTTGCTTTGCTTTAAATGAGCAGTGATCCACTTCAAAGTAGAAGATGCATTAGTTCAAAGGGATATTGAATTTATCATCTATTACAGAAACCCTGATGAAATTGCTTCTGAAAGAGGTCCAAGACCCAGTTCCAACAGACTCAAAAGCCAAGCTAGGAGATCAAGGTTTATTTTCAAATCAGTCATATCGTGGGAGATGCTTGGGCCAAGGTGGAGGTTAAGATAGTGGCGTGCTTGTAAATGTTTAATATGGACTATGGGGTGGGGAAAGAGAAGATCTGTAGCATTTCCTAATTTCCCTTGTAGAAATATTCCCACCATGGCCAATTTCAGCTACCAATATAAGGTCACTGGATACGGAAGTCTGAAGAGATGTGCACAGTTGTCTCTTGAAAGACAGTGTGAGCCTGCTCCAATATGTCACTGGGCTAAGATAGCTGAAAACATTGTGTTGTCTTTGTAACTAATTACATATGTATTCATAAGAACATTATAAGCAAACCAGTGCAAAAATAGCAATAGCTATAAACAGGCAATTCACAGAAGAAGGCAGAACGTCCAATAAGCATGAAAATATACTCAGCAACGTGGTTGGCAAAATTAAGAATTGGACAGTACCAACTGTTCAGAAGGATGAATGGGGAGAATCGTATTCTCATTCACTGCTCTGGGGAAGATAGTTTAGTACACACACTTTGGGGAGCAACTTGGCAATATCCTTAAGGTTAAAGACATACCTACTCCACAACCCAGCAACTCCATTAGGAAGGAGGATACCCCAAAAGCTCTTGATATATACACCAGGAAACACAAACAAGAATGTTAATTGGAACACGGTTTTCAATAGTAAAATACTAGAAACAATCTAATGGTCTCAGTGGAAAGATGAATAATAGTGTTTTACTTGTATGGTAGAATACTATACGGAGGTTAAAATGAATGAACAAGATCTAAGTGAATCAACATAGATAGGTTTAACAGCCAATATTGTGTGAAAGAGCAATTTGCAAAGGTTAAATAATGATATGCTACTGTTTATGTAAATATCAATACAAAAACAAGAGCAGCATTGTTTGTGGGTACGTATGTATGTATCGAAAGTATAAAATATTCATGGAGGTGATAACAATGTCAGATATTATCTCTCAGGATGAAGGAAGAGAGAAAAAAGTAGAGAATAGTCTTAACTATATCGACAACCTTTTATTCGTGTAAAAGACAAAAGATATCTGAAGCCAATGATCCAAAATGTTAGTATCTGTTAAACCTACATGGTGGGTACATGCATGTCTGTAAGTGATTTTGTGTATTTTTTGTAGGCTTGAACTGTTTTATAGATTTTTCCCTTGCCTTTTTAAAAATAAACTTTTTAGTATAGAATAGTTTTGGATTTACAGAACTGTTGTAAACATAGTACAGAGAGTCTCAAAGAACCACGCTCAGTTCCCATATTATTAACATCTTATACTGCTATGCTACATTTGTCACAACTAATGAACCAATATTAAGGCATCATTATTATGATGATGAGTTTTGTTTGTTTGTTTTTGGAGACAGAGTCTCACTCTATTGCCCAGGCTGGGGTGCAGTGGTGCAATCTCAGCTCACTCTGCCTCCCTGGTTCAAGTGATTCTCCTCCCTCAGCCTCCCAAGTAGCTGGGACTACAGGCGTGCACCACCATGCCTAGGGTTTTACCATATTGGCCAGGCTGGTCTCGAACTCCTGCTGCTAAGCTGTAGTGGTGCCAGCCTAAGGTCCAGCAGGGGCAGCATGATGGACACTGGGCCCAGACACAATAGCCATGCCCGAGGGCCATGCAGAGTGAGGCAGGGGCAGAAGCGGGTGCCAGCTGGGCCTGGGCTGCCCTCCCCAGTGCCCCCACCTGCATGCCCCCTGCCTCGTGGTGTTGTGTCTAGGCAGGCAGCCTCTTCACCACACCGCAGCAGCAGGAGTGTCTGGTAGGTACAGATTCTGCCTGCACTCGTCTGCCCGGTTCCCTGCCACTGCTGCCAGGGAATGCGGCTGGAGGAAGGCGGGAGTAGATGGGGTGTGACAGAGGCTGAGGCCAGCCCTGCAGGGGGACAGGCACGGCTGCCTGGGCTCTCTCCCAGGGGAGGCCTGCTTTCCAGTCCTCGTCCTTCCATAGATGACCCGAGGTATCTGCCTGGGTTGGGCCATCAGAGGCTCTGTTGAGTCAACTGTGATGTGATGTTCTCCAGATCCTTGTCGGGACTGGCTCCAGGGTCTGGGCTCAGGGATGCAGGCTGCAGGGTTAGAGAGCAGGGCCACAAGAGGGCTTGGTGATCCAGGAGGCTTCGGAGGGAAGGACACTGGTGCTGCATCTGGAGGGGAGGCTGCAGCGGTAGGGCAAGAGGAGCAGGGTGGAGGCAGCAGCGTGTGCAGAGGCCGGGCACTGGGGCTGGGGTTGTTGAGCTGGAGTGCCCAGGAGGTGAAATGAGCGTGGGCGGGAGGGCCTCTGCTGCTGGCTGCAGGGTGGCTGAGCCAAGCGGGGAGATGGAGTTCTCCTACAGTGGTGGGGCTCTGTGCCACTCCCTCCTCCCCTCCCAGCCCAGCCAATGCCTCTCCGATGGGTCTCACAGGCTGCCCCACTCTCCTTGCTCCCGCAGGTGAGGCCTGTGCCTGGATGATTCTCCTGCCAAGGACATCATCAACTTCCCCTCAGTGCTGCCCGGCATCCTCTATGATGTGAGCCACCAGTGTCGCCTCCAGTACGGGGCCTACTCTGCCTTCTGTGACAACATGGATGTGAGTGGGCTGGGGTGGGTACCAGGATGTGGGGACCCGGCGGGAAGGCTCAGGGGGCAGCCCTCACCAGCCCATGGATGCCAGCCTGGCAGGAACCTTGCTTGACCTGGGCTGCACCCCTGAATGACACTGTGACATGTCAGAGGCCTGTGGGAGAGGCCAAGGATGGGCAGCCACAGACCTGGCTCTGAATTCTGGGTCAATCACGGATCCACTGTGACAAGTCCCTTAGCCTCCCTGGGGCTGGCTTTTAAGAGGGAAAAGGGCCAGGCGCGGTGGCTCACGCCTGTAATCCCAGCACTTTGGGAGGCTGAGGCAGGTGGATCACGAGGTCAAGAGATCAAGACCATCCTGGCCAACATGGTGAAACCTCATCTCTACTAAAAATACAAAAAATTAGCTGGACATGGTGGCACATGCCTGTAGTTCCAGCTACTTGGGAGGCTGAGACAGGAGAATGGCTTGAACCCAGGAGGCGGAGGTTGCAGTGAGCCGAGAATGCGCCATTGCATTCCAGCCTGGGCAACAAGAGCGAAACTCCATCTCAAAAAAAAGAAAAAGAGGGAAAAGGAACCTGTGTAGGGAGGGTCTGTTTATCCTGGAGAAGACTGCCTGGAGTGATCTTCTAACGGAGTGTTTCTAGAGGCGGGGCTGGGCCGGAAGAGGGGTGGACAGCTGGGGAGTGGTGTGAGCAGAGCAGCCCTGGGCCCCCCACACCACCACAGGGTCTGGAGAGGAAGGTGGGAGCAGACACAGAAGGGACCTCTGGGGGTCTGTGGACCCCCGCCATGTGGAAGGGTGTCCAGGGGGCCCTTGGGGACAGGGTGGGGGCAGGGTGGCTGGTGGCATGGGGGTAGGGTGGGGTAAGGGTGTGGCTTGTGCCTCCTCCTTGCAGAATGTCTGCCACACACTTTGGTGCTATGTCGGGACCACCTGTCACTCCAAGCTGGATTCGGCTGTGGACGGCACCTGGTGTGGGGAGAACAAGGTGGGAGGTGCTCAGTCCCAGCGGTGGGAGGGAAAGGCCAGACCTCCTGCTGTGACCGGGCATCAGCCCCAGCTCACAGTCTTGCTGTACTCCTAGCAGACCCCCACTCTCTGCAGCCCAAGCCCATATCTGCAAAATGGAGGCATTGGGAGCAGAGCTTGATTCCATGATTCCCCAGGTGTCTTCAGCTGAGTCGGCATGTGGGCTGTTTCACACCCTGCTCAGCTCCGCCCTGTGGCCTGGGCCACACGTGATGGTGATGATTGGAAGGGGCCTCTCTCACCTTCCATCCTTCCTCTCTGTGCTTTCCGTGGCCTTCTCACCCACCTTGTTCTCACTAGGGTGAGGATGACTGATAGGCTTGGGGGTGGGGGTGGCTCTACCTCCATCTGTCTTGGTAGTGGTGTCTCAATGGGGAGTGGGTACCCATGGGCTTCCGGCCTGAGGCCCTGGACGGTGGCTGGTCCGGCTGGAGTGCCTGGTCCATCTGTTCGTGGAGCTGTGGCGTGGCCGTGCAGAGCGCTGAGTGGCAGTGCACGCAGCCTGCGTTGAGTGTGGGGCCCAGGGTGCCCTGGGCGAAGGGACGGAGGGACCCAAGCAGTCAGCCGATTGCAGGGGCTTGGCTCTGTCCCAGCCTCTGGCTCTTAGAAGTGTCCTCATAACGATCAGTCCGAGTGTCCAGGCCACCTTGAGTCACTTTCAAGGAGGGTTCTGGGGCTGACAGGTCCCCACTGCTGACCCCTTTGCAGAGAGGGAGACACTGAGGCCCAGAGACTAGAGAGACTCATCAGAGGCCATACAGCAAAGCAGCCGCCGGCTGGAGGGAGGACGGAGAGGGCAGTGGGGAAGACCGTGGGCCCTGGACCTTATATGGCTCAGGGTTTGATTCCCCTCTTCACCCCTTCTCTGGGCCTCTGTTTCCCCCTTTAAACAGGGGGGTGTGAGGATGTGGTGAGTCGCAGAGTCCAGCAGTACCGTAGACCGAGGCACTGCCCAGCTGATTCCCTCTTCATGAGGCTGCCCAGGGAAGGCATGGGGTTCACGGCTAGCCCCACCCAGGGCCCTGTGCTTGGCTAAGACTGGCCTGTGGCCCTCCCTGCCTCCAGACCTCCAGGTCTGAGCAGGGTTGGGTCCAGCTACCCTGGCCTAGATGGGGCGGGTTTCAGAAGCTGTGACTTGGCAGACCTCTCAGCTGGCCGGGGCCCTGGGGGCTTTTTTTTACACCCGGGCTGGGGTAACTGCCACCAGGAGGGAGGCTGAGGACTCAAGGGCTTGTTAGAATGCTGGTGTCATGGGCTGGGGACTCAGAGCAGTCCCTCCAGTCAGTGCCAGTCATGCCTGCAGCTTGTCAAAGCTTCTCAACAGCCCTCTGCAGAGTCAGCCCCAACCCCATTTTACAGATGAGGAAACTGAGGCCCAGGGGTTGGCCAGAGACTTGCCCACAGTCACACAGCAGGTTGGAGACAGAGCTCAGGCTTCCTGCTGCCACTTCCCCGCAGGTCCTTACAAACAGGGAGGGTGTGTCTGGGCCAGAGTAGGGGCAGACCAAGGGAGGAGACATTGTGTGCAGAGCTGGGTGGCAGGGATCTCGGGGTGCGGGTACAGGAGGAGGCCGCTCGCTCCGGGCTGTGGCCACACAGTAGCACTCACCGGGCCCTCCCTGAGTCTCCCCACAGGCCCAAATACAAGGGCAAGTACTGCGTGCGTGAGCGGAAGCGTTTCCGCCTCTGCAACCTACAAGCCTGCCCCTCTGGCCGCCCTTCCTCCTGCCACATCCAGTGCAGCCACTTTGACATTATGCTCTACAAGGGCCAGCTGCACACATGGGTGCCTGTGGTCAATGACAGTGAGTGCTGCCTCCCACGGGTACACTGAGGCTCAGAGGGCTGGGGCTTTTTGTGCCCAAGGCTACCCTGTGATGCAGCAGGAGTCTCAGTCTCCACCCCAAGCCTGGGCCACGCCGCTGTGCACTGGGGCTGCTGCTCCTCCCAGCTCCCCAGTCTGAAGCCTTGCAGATAGCTACCAGCCCTGCCGGAGCCTCCAGCCTGCCATGGATGTGTGTCACGGAGGGGTCTTCCTGGTGGCCTCCGTAACTTCTGCCCGGGCTGTCGCTGATGGCTCTTCTACTTGGCCCCCGGTGAACCCCTGTGAGCTGCACTGCCGGCTCTCAAATGAGTATTTTGCCAAGAAGCTGCAGGACGCCGTGGTTGATGGCACCCCCTGCTACCGGGGCAGGGTCAGCTGGGACCTCTGCATCAATGGCATCTGCAAGGTGTGCCTGGTCTGGAAGAGGCTCTCCCAGCACTGCCCGCCCCTAGCCCCACTGGCAGGCCCCAGGTTCTCCCCTGGGTCCCTCCTGGTCCTCTGGCCACCCTCCCCCCATGCTCTGCCATTGGGCTTCCCAGACCCCACCCTCTATACCACTAAGGCAAAGCCCATACCAGGCCTCCTGGTACTGGAGACCCCTGCCAGTCAGGGTTTACCACCCTGCATCTCCTTGGATGCTGTGCCAGCACCACCCCAGCAGGGACACTGGAACCCAGGCAGGGGCTTGATCTCTTGCCAGCTGGCTGACCCCAGGCAGTGGTTTCCTTCCTGATAGAAGGGGTCAAATGATGTGGCACAGGTGACATGAAGGGCTCTAGCCCCGAAGGCGTCTCGTCTTTGCCCATCTCGCTAGCCACCTACCTGCCCCTGCTTCTAGCCCTCTAAGCCACTGGGGTGTCTGGGCCTGGGCTCAGAGGGGGACCAGCAGGGAGGGGTCCACCCCCAGCACCTCTGATGTTCGGATTCCCTGCACGCACTGGTCAGAAGCCCATGGTGAATCAGGTCCCTGCCTGTCCGCAGCCTTTGCAGAACTCACTTCTCTTGTCCCATGTGATGCTCGAGACATACCTTTAAGGGAGGGGCGGGTCTCCCCCTCTCACATCTGAGGACACTGAGGCTCAGGGAGGTAGAGAAGTTCAGCTGGGTCAGAGGCACAGCTGGGGTGGGGCAGGGCCAGAGAGAGGCCTCCTGACCCCCACTCCAGCTGTCTCCTCCTGACCCTGGCTGGCCACAGAGGGCTGACTGCCAGCACCAGGGGCCTCCCCTCTCTTGTGTGTTGCAGAATGTGGGCTGTGACTTGGAGATTGACTCCGGTGCCATGGAGGACTGTTGTGGCATGTGCCACGGCAATGGCTCCACCTGCCACACCGTGAGCGAGACCTTTGAGGAGGCCGAGGGCCTGCATATGGGGTGGGACCACTGTGGGGGATGGGTGTGCTCTTTACCTGGTGGCCACTTCCCCATCTGCCCTGGGACCCCCCATTGGCCTCGTGGTCCCCAGCCAGCCATAGATGGCTAAGCAGGGAAGACTTGTTGGGGTGGAATTCTTGTAGGAGTCAGGTACCCCTAACCCAAGCACAGAGACCTGTCCCCGTGGGGAGTCCTCTTGTCCCAGAGACCCCAGGCAGGTCCAGCTCAGCTTGTGTGCAGCCCCTGGGCCACTAGGAGGATGATGGTCTCCTCCCGAAGCTTCTGAGACCCTCAGCTCCACGCCTTCACCTTGGGTCTGCTTTGCACACGTTCGAGTGCTGACTGTGCTAGGTGATGGGGACATGCAGGTGAATCGTTCAGCCCCACAGGGGACAGAACCTTCTGTGTGGCCAGTGCAGTGCAGGGAGGCCCAGAGGACTTTGGGAGCACCGAGGAAGACGCTCCTGGCCTGGGGAAGTTAGGGAAGGTTTCCCGTGGGAGGAAAACCCTGTTGTCCTCAGATCCCAGCAGGATGCTCATTCATGTTACTATCCCTGCCTGCCTCGCTTTCCTCATCTGTGAAATGGGAACAACAATAGTACCTACATCCTAGGGTTGTTATTCATTTTACACGTGAGCAGTGCCTGGCGCGTGATGGGTGTTACAGAAGCTGGTGAATAAATGCAGCCATGTGGGCTGAGGAGGGTGACCCGGGAGAAAGGCCTGAGGACGCTGGCATTTTAGAAAGAGAATGCCAGCTGGCCCTGAGTGTTGGGTGGACCCAGCCTTGTGATGAGACCAGTTTAGGTCCCCAAGAGAGGGATGACAGGGCATGGATGTGGGGTCGGGATTTGGGGCGCTTCTGTGAGGTTTTGGTGACCTATGACATATCTGAGCAATTGGGGGAGCTCAGACTTTTAAGGTAACAGTGGAATCTTTGGCATCAGCAGGTGGGGTGCAAGTGGGGGGAGAGGTGAGGGCAGCGGGTGGGGATAGGCAACCCTGTCACCCCGAGCACAACATATACACAGCCCGTGGCCGGCAGGGTATGTGGACGTGAGGCTGATCCCAGCTGGCGCACGTGAGATCTCCATACAGGAGGCTGCTAACTTCCTGGCACTGCAGAGCGAGGACCCAAAGAAGTACTTCCTCAATGGCGGCTGGATCATCCAGGGGGACGGGGACTACCAGGTGGCAGGGACCACCTTAACATACGCACGCAGGGGCAACTGGGAGAATCTCACGTCCCTGGGTCCCACCAATGAGCCTGTCTAGATTCAGGTGTGTACTTCCCGAGGCCAAGGAGGGGGGAGCAGAGGCGGAGACCCCAGGCCCATGGCAGGGTCTCATCCTGGAGGAGTGAGCCCTGGGGCAGTCACAGAGCCTGGCTTTCAGCCAGGCCCTCCTGCTGTAACCTCTGCCTCAGTTCCCCCATCTTTTAAAATGGCCCCATGATGTAGCTGCAGTTCAGAGGTGGCTGGGGTCAGCTCCTCCAGACCTGGGTGGATGGAGAGGATGCCTCGTGCTCATGGGGCCCGCCTGCCTGCCCAGCTGCTGTTCCAGGAGAGCAACCCCGGGGTGCGCTATGAGTACACCGTCCACAGGGAGGCAGATGGCCATGGCGAGGTCCCACCGCCCGAGTTCTCCTGGCACTACGGACCCTGGACCAAGTGCACTGTTACCTGTGGCACAGGTGAGAAGAGGGGCAGGCACAGCCCTGCCAGCAGGGGCTTTGGCTCTGGACAGGGACGCTGGCTTCAGCCTCCAGCTCACTGCTGGGCCACCACGGGTCTGGAGACTTGCTTCTCTGAGCCTCGGTTCCCCATCTGTGAAAGGAGGCTGGCAGTTGCCCCATGTCCCATGCCTACTGGTAGGTAAATGGATGAGGCAGGTGGGGGCAGCTTGCGGTGAGTGCTCAGCATGCCCCAGCTCTTGGCGTTCTCTGTCCAGGGGGCACAGGTCCCTCTCAATTTTGTCCTGGCTCAGCTCCGGCAGGCCTCGTGCCTGCATTTCTACTGTGTCCTGGAGACGACCCCCCAACCCCCACAGAGCCTTAGCAGTGGGCTTGTAGGGGCACTGCTCCCCTTCTCCAGGCCCTCCAGTGGTCCAGAGCCTGGGGCTCCCTGGTGGCCACCCCATGAGGGACTTCCCAGACAGGAGGGGGAACAGTGGAAGGTGGCAGTGAAGGGGGCAGTGAGGAGAGGGAGGCCAGGGCACAGCCAGGTTTCCCCCCCCACTCTGAGGCCAGCCCAGTGGCCCCTCACCACGCCGACTTGCTTACTTCTTTAAACAATATGAAAAGTATGACGGTTTCATTAACTCCAACTCTTCCTCCCCATATTTCCCTTCGTGCCCTCCATACCCCTCAGTTTCCCCCAACCCCTCAGTCTTCCTCCTCGCCCCTTGGTCTTCCCCCCATGCCCCTCAATCCCCCCCCCCCCCCCCCCCCCCGGGTCTCCCCTTCTGCCCCTCGGTCTCCCCCTGCCTCTTGGTCTCCCCTCATCCCTCAGTCTCCCCCGAGTTGTGCCTCTCAATCCCCCCTGCTCCTTGGTCTCCCCCTGCCCCTCAGTCTCCCCCCCATATCCCCCCACTCCTCGGTCTCCCTGCGGTCATGCCTCTCAGTCCCCCTGCCCCTTGGTCTTCCCCCACCACTGCCCCTGGGTCTTCCCAGCCCCTTGGTCTCCCTGCTCACCCTTTGGTCTCCCCCCATCCCTCAGTCTCCCCCTGCTCCTTGGTCTCCCCTCACCCCTCAGTCTCCCCCCAGTCATGCCTCTCAGTCTCCCTCCTCCCTGTCTCCCCACACCCCTCGGTTTCCTCCCTCCCCATCTCCCCCCACCCCTCAGTCTCCCCCCTCCCAGCCTCCCCACACTCCTCGGTCTCCCCCCAGTTGTGCCTCTCAGTCCCCCCGCCCCTCGGTCTCCTCCCTCGCCCCAGGTCTCCCCAGGCCCTCGGTCTTCCTGCTCACCCCCAGTCTCCTCCCCCCACCTCCGACTCCCACTCTCTTAGTCCTCCCCTTTCCCCTCAGTCTTTCCATCATTGACACCCAGTGTCCTCAGAGTCTCAGAAGTGGGAATCTGAGATAGAGACACTTGAGCATTTCTTAAAATGCTATTTAAAAATTATTATTACTATTTGGAGGAAAGAGGTCAGGGAAGGAGAAGGAGTGGGGAAGAGGGAAAGGAGAAGTGAGAGAGGGGGCGGGCACGCAGGGGAAGAGAGGGAGCCTCAAAATGCTGTTATGATGACAACGTGAGAACTGGAGAACTGGGTAGATGCCTTCCAAAGCCAGGAAACCGTTTTATCTAATACAGCTATCTTTATTTTATTTATTTTGAGACGAGTCTTGCTCTGTCACCCAGGCTGGAGCGCAGTGGTGCGATCTTGGCTCACAGCAGCCTCCGCCTCCCAGGTCCCACTGATTCTCCTGCCTCAGCCTCCCGAGTAGTTGGGATTTATAGGCATGCACCATCATGCCTGGCTAATTTTTTATTATTGGTAGAGGTGGGGTTTCACCATGTTGGCCAGACTGGTCTTGAACTCCTGACCTCAGGTGATTCAACTGACTCAGCCTCCCAGAGCACTGGGATTGATTGCAGGCATGAGCCACCACACCTGGCATAATTCAGGTGTCTTTAAATAGACAAACCTGAGAAACCAACAAATACATGTGCAGCACAAGACATTTGGGGGATTGTCTTTCAGCAAATCGGCTGCCTCGAAGGTGGACCGTGTAGGAGTGTATGCAAAGGCAAGTGCCCCGCAGTGGCCGGGACAGACAGGCAGGAAGTCCCAGGTGCACAGTCCAAGCTGGCGGGACCTGGAGCTGACTGTCCCTCAGCTGCAGCGTCCTTACCGTGGCAGCCCTCCCCTCCTGCTTGTCACAGATTGCCTCCTCCTGTCCAGGCCTCTTGCCATGTTCTGGGCAGAAAGAAGGAGGGAAAAGGGCTGACTCCCAGTGAGGGACTCATGCCTGTTTCTCCCCAGCCAGGACTGTGTCCCAGAAACCCTAGTTTCGAGTGGGTGCCCTGGGGGTGTTTTCAGCAGGTCCCATTGCTGTAGTTGGGACCTTGAGCAATATCAGAATCTGTTGGTGAGGAAAGGGGGACGGGCATGGGACTGACAGCTCAGGGGAGGGACAGTTTACTCTTGAGACCCCAGGGGAGCAGAGAAAGCAGAGCCACCAGCAGAGAGGGTCCTGAGGCTGGGCCTTAGCAGGCAGTATGGAAGTGAGTTTAAGTGAGGAGCGTGGCTGTGGAAAAGCCCAGGGTGGGCAGTGGCAGAAGGTATGAAGGACAGGAGCAATGCCAAGGCTGGTGTGGGGGCGGGGAGCGGGGCCTGCCCCTTGATGCATTTCTTCTCCAGATGTTCTCTGAGCCATTGGGAAGGGCGTGGACAGTGGGGCAGCCTTGACGTCATGGCTGGGTTTGCATGCTAGCAGCAGGTGGCACGGATCGGATCGAGCTCTTAGGATGTGCTGGGCACAGGCTGAGCCCGCATACGCAAGGCCACAAGCAGTCCTCCCTCCGGGGCTTGTAGGCAGGCAGGATTGTCACTCCAACTTCACAGAGGAGGCCGCTGAGGTTCACAGTGGCCAAATGAGCTGTCCAGGCATCTCAGCTAGGAAGCAGAGGGTCTGGGGACCCAACCCACTAAACCTCCATACTGTGCCACCTCTCCAGGGACAGTCAGAGGGAGGCTACGTAGGAGAGGGCGGGTGAGAGCAGGACAGCAAGGAGGAGGCAGACGTGGAGGCCTGCCTTCATCCTGACACAGGCGGTGAGGTGCTGTTCTGGGAGGGTTCTGGCAGAAATGGTGTCTTTGGGTCTTGGGCGGTGGGCACCTGGGTGTCAGGCCCAGGCTGAGCCCCACGGCCCCTAGGTGTGCAGAGGCAGAGTGTGTACTGCTCGGAGTGGCAGGCAGGGCCTGTGGACGAGGGGCACTGTGACCGCCTGGGCCAGCCCGATGACCGCCAGAGGAAGTGCAGTGAGCAGCCCTGCCCTGCCAGAGCTGCCCCCACACCCCTGCCAACCCACCACCCCCAGGTGGCCTGGGTCTGCCACAGGCCCCTACTTCTGGGCTCCAGAGTTCCCAGGGAGGAGCACAGGCAGCCAGGTTTTCACGGGTCTTCCCAGGGCTGAAGCCCCAGCTCCCGGTCACCCCTTACTCCAGCCTGGGCCAGCCTGGACACCTGTGGTGCTCATTTTTAGGTCCCTGGATACAGAAATAGGCCTCAGGTCATGCTCACTTCCCCTGAGGGGAGGGTGGCAGGAGGGGAGGGGCTGGGCCATGTCACCAGACTTAGGGTGTAGGACACCTACCTGGGCTTGGAGCTCTGGAGAACCAGCCACTGGACTTGGTCCCAGCTCTGGGACCAACCCCAAGGGCCTGGGAGCCTGGCCTGGCCCTCCCTGCTGGTGAGCCTGCTGATGCCACCCATGTGCCCCTGCCAGGTGGTGGGCAGGTGAGTGGCAGCTGTGCTGCAGCCTCTGCGGGCCTGGGGGTCTCTCACGCCGGGTCATGCTCTGCATCCGCAGCATGGGGCTGGATGAGCAGAGCGCCCTGGAGCCGCCGGCCTGTGAACACCTTCCCCGGCCCCCGTCTGAAACCCCCTGCAACTGCCACGTGCCCTGTCCGGCCACCTGGGCTATGGGGAACTGGTCTCAGGTGAGTGCAGGATGGGAGGGGCCGCCTCCAGTGCCACCCTTGGTCTCAGGCTACAGGGAGGCAGACAGCCTTCCTCCAGCCCTTACTGCCTGATACCGTGGGTGGGAGGGAGTCTGGGGCATTCCAGGGTCCAGCCTGACTCCAAAGCCTCTGGGATCAGGAAGCCCCTGCGAAGCCATGGCCACAGCCATGACCTTGAGCTGGGTAGGGCCAGAGAGGGCTGGCTGGGGTCCCTGCCACTCTGACACCAGGCAGTGGACAGTGCCTTGTCCCTGCCTTGCCCCAGCGTCCCCTGTCAGCCCTCCTCCCAGCCTGAGCCCCTCACCCTGGCTTCCCCCACAGTGCTCAGTGACATGCGGGGAGGGCACTCAGCACCGAAGTGTCCTCTGACCCAGTGACACTGGTGTCCCCTGTGACGAGGCCCAGCAGCCAGCCCGCCATGTCACCTGCTCTCTTGCCACCCTGTCTGCAGCCCCTGGACACACTGGTCCCTGAAGGCTCAGGCAGCGGCTCCTCCAGCCACGAGCTCTTCAAATAGGCTGACTTCATCCCGCGCTGCCTGGCCCCATGCTCTTCAGCCTCCTCAGCACCCACGCCAGCATCATGGGCAACGCCATCGACGAGGAGGCCCTTGAGCTGGACCCGCCTGGGTCCGTATTTGTGGACGACTTCTACGACTACAATTTTATCAACTTCCATGAGGACCTGTCCTATGGGCCACCCTTCGAGGAGCCTGATCTAGACCTGGTGGGGACAGGGGATGGGACACCCACACCACGCGGCCATCCTGCTGCATCCTCCACAGATAGACCCGTGTCTGCTACAGAGCCTCCTGAAGCCATGGAGGAAGGGCCACCGGGGCCTTGGTCCCCTAGCTCTTGGCCCAGCCAGGCCGGCCGCTCCCCACCCCCACCCTCAGAGCTGACCCCTGGGAACTCTTTGGTCAATTTCCTGCCTGAGGAAGACACCCTCACAGGGGGCCCAGACCTTGGGCTCCCCAGCCTGCCCTGGCCCAGGGTTTCCCCTGATGGCATGCAGATGCCTGCCACCCCTGGGAGCCAAAATGACTTGGTTGGCAAGGACAGACAGCGCCAACTGCCCCCTCCATGGCGGGACAGGACCAATGACGTTTCCAAGGACGATGAGGAACCCGGGGGCTGCGGAACCACCCACCTGCCCCTGAGACCCAGCCCCACACTGCCCCCTTCGTCCTCTGTCAGCAGCACCCACTCCTCTCCTGGTCCTGATGTAGTGGAGCTGTGGACAGGAGGGACTGTAGCCTGGAAGCCAGCTCTGGAGGGTGGCCTGGGGCCTGGGGACAGTGGGCTGAGGCCCACTGTGGAGGTAGCTCCTCCCCTTTCTCCCATAGCCCCTCTGCCACAGACGGAAGGCAGGGACAGCCCCCTGCAGCTGGGGACTCCCAACTCCCCAACCCCAGGACCAGGTTCCTGGGACCTGCGGACTGTGGCAGTGTGGGGCACCTTCCTCCCCATGACCCTGACTGGCCTCGGGCACACACCTGAGCCTGAGCCTGCCCGGAGCCCGGGATCCGAGGGCCAGCCTGAGTCCCGAGCCCGGGACCCGAGGGCCAGCCTGAGTCCCTCAGCCCTGAGGTGCCCCTGAGCTCTGGGCTGCTGTCCACACCAGCTTGGGACAGCCCTGCAAACAGCCGCAGAGCCCCTGAGACCCAGCCCCCGGCCCCCAGCCTGGCTGAGTCGGGGCCCCCTGTAGACCCACTGGCTGCCAGGAATGACAGCTGGCAAGCTAGAAACTGGAGCGAGGCAAGTGGTGTGGGCCAGGCTGGCGGGGGAGTTTGCCCAGGACCTTGGTGATTGTTGCCTCATCTGAAAGTGAGCAGAGTGGGACACAGGCGCTGTCTGTCCCGCCTCCCTCAGGGCAGGGGTTCCGAGGATTAGGCAGATGAGGGGACCACAGGCCATTCCTGGGCAGCACAGGGGGCCTCGGGGAAACCAGGGCAGGCACACTGGCAGCACACCCCAGGACAGAGTTCACTCAGACAGCTGTGCAGTGGGGAGGGTCCCCTCATGGCCCGCAGGCCCATTCCTGCCCAGAAAGCAGCAAGCTTCCCTGAGGCTCAGCCTGGTTCCTCCACGCTGGGCTCAGCCCACTGCCACCTGGCTCTGCCCTCAATGGCTCCACCCTCCTTTGGCAGTGACCTGCAGGGGTCTGAGCTGCATGAAAGAAGCTGGCCAGTGCCCTCTCCCTGGGTCCCTAGGTGGTCACTGCAGGAGAAGCCAGCTTCTGTTCAGGTCCCTAATTTGGGTGTGGGAAGGGGCAGACTGGTCAGGATAGCTGGTCAGGGGTGCCCGCAGGGTCCCCTTCCCCCGCCTCTGCACTAGTGACACTGCAACACAGGCCCTTTGTCCTTTGTGGTCAGGGTCAGTTGGTTGCTGGGGGGTGGGGGTTGACTTTTTATTCTCACGGTCTTTCTGGGTGGTGGGTGGAGGAGTCTATTTTGCAAATAAGAAAACTGAGGCCCAGAAGAGGGGCCTGTCTTGCTGAGGTCTCGCTAGCCTAGGTGGGTAGGTAGTTCCTGTCTGTGGGGGCCTGGCGGGGATGGGGTCTGCCTGGCTTTCACGGGTCCGTGCCCCACAGTGCTCCACCACCTGCGGCCTGGGTGCCATCTGGAGGCCAGTGCGCTGTAGCTCTGGCTGGGATGAGGACTGCACCCCTGCTGGCTGACCCCAGCCTACCCGCCACTGCCACATGCGGCCCTGTGCCACCTGGCACTCGGGCAACTGCAGTAAGGTGTGTGAGGGTGGAGCCAGGGCAGGGAGCCCCAGGGCACGGGGCAGAGCCCTGGGTCCCCATGGCCTGTGTTCCAAGAGCAGCAGGGCGGGGGAGGGCTCCGGGCTGCACGTCTGGGCACCTGATGGCACTGGATCTGAATCTCCTGGGAGTCTTCGTTTTTGTCTGGCTTGGCCTGTCTCCTCCCCTCTGTATTTCTGACCCCATCTGGACTTGTCTTTCATCAACTTGCCTTTGTTCCTCCCTTTCTCCGTCTGTCCCCACCCATGGCAGCCCATGGCCAGGCACCTTTTGCCTGAGGCCTGCCAGCCTTGGCCTTCTGCTGGGGCTCTTCAGGGATTTGCCCCGGGCAGGAGCGTGGGCCTGATGCCTTCCCTGCCACACGCCTCACGGGGTTGCACGTGTGGGCCTGCATATGG